CTGCACCCGAGCGACCGCGGCTGCGGGGCGGGGGCGTGGCCGGGGGCGCGCGTGGATCGGGCCGGGCCCCACGCCTCCGGCCCCCAGAACCTCCCGGAGAACCGGCCGGGCCAGCCGCGCTCGGGCCCCCAGCACCGGGGACGGCCCAACAGCCCAGAGCCCAGTGACAGTCTCGGAGGCCGGAAGTCCAGCCCCGGCCAGCGCTCATTGGCCCCGTGCGGGAGGGGCTCACGCGCAGAGCCTTCTGGGAAAGGTAGTTCCGAGTGCTTGCAGCCCAAGGTATCCATGGCAACGGCCAAGCGTCACCGCGTGGGACGCTAGGAAGCGGAGCGGGGGCCCAGGGCTGCTTCCCCTGGCTCACTCCTGGGCGGGCTCCAGGCTGCGAGGCTCTGAATGAGGCGGATTAGTAAGAAACTGGGAAAATTCCTTGGAAAGTGGGGAAACTGAGACACTTAACCAAGGCCGAGCGATTCACAGCCAGAGAACAGACCCTAAGGTCTGCCTGGCTGGTGTGGGTCCGTGGTTGAGCGTCCACCTATGAACCACGAGGTCAAGGTTTTGTTCCAGATTCCCCAGTCAGAGCAAATGCCCGGGTTGTGGGCTCAATCCCCAGCAGGGGGCGTGCAGGAGGCAGCTGATCAATGATTCTCCTCATTGATGTTTCTCTCTCTCTCCTGCTCCCTTCCTCTCTGAAATCAATAAAAATACATTTAAAAAATAAAATAAAATGCTCCCCCCCCCAAAAAAAAAAAAAATCCTCACCTGCCCACCCTGGCCAGGATTGATCAACTGCCTCCTGCACACCGCCCATTGGGGATAGAGCTCAGTGGTTAGTGTCAGCCTGCACAACGAAAGGTCCAGGGTTCGATTCCAAGGGCACGTACTAAGGTTGTCGTTTCTATCTCTCCCTCTCCCATCTCTGAAATCAATAAAAATATATTTTAAAAAACATATGAAAAGGGAAAAAAAGGTAGAAGAGGCAAGATCACAGCAACAGGATTGAGCCTGGCAGGGAGCTCCAGCCATGGCACAGACAGGAGGAAACTAAGCTACACATCAATGTTTCTCTCCCTCTCTTCTACCATCTCTGAAAATCAGTGGAGAAATATCCTCAGGTGAGGATTAAAAACAACAGAAAGACCTTGCCCTGCCCTGGCTGGTGTGCCTCAGCTGGTTGAACTGTGTCCTGTGCACCCAAAGGTCACCGGTTGGATTCTGGGTCAGGGCACCCATAAAAAGAAAAGATCCTCCCCTCACATCTTCCCTAAAATTCCCACCTTTAGAAAACAAATTTAAAAACCTCAGATAAAGGAAGCCAGAGCATGCTCTCCTTAGAGCATGCCCACACCTTCCCCCAATTCTTTTCCGCAGGGCCCATCTTTGTTCTCTTTCTCCTAAGCTCTCAGGGCTCCAACAAGGCTTGCAACCAGGGAGCAGCAGGCAGTGGCAGCTTGTCCGGGCTACACCCCTGAAGGGCTCTCCTTCTGCCGCTGTAACTTGCTTCCTGCGTCCACGCAGCCCAGCGGGCTCACTTCTGCCTCTGTGACTTCCCCAAGGGCCAAGGCAGCGCTCTGCCAGGCTCACTCCTGTTGCTATGATCTTGCCTCTTTTATCTTTTTTTTCTCTTAATATGTTTTTTTTAAATATTTTTTATTGATTTCAGAGAAGTGAGGAGAGATAGAAACATTAATGATGAGAATCATTGATCAACTGCCTCCTGCACACCCCACATTGGGAATCAAGCCCACAAACCGGGCATGTGTCCTGATCAGGAATCGAACTGTGACCTCCTGGTTCATAGGTCGACGTCCAACCACTGAACTACACTGCCTGGGTTTAATGTTTTTATTGACTTTGGAAGGTAGAGGGAAATAGAAAAATCAATGATGAGAGAGAATCATCAATTGGCTGCCTCCTGCACGCCCCCTACTGGGGCTTGAGCCCAAAACCCAGTCATGTGCCCTGACTGGAATTGAACTGTGATCTCCTGGTTCATGGGGTTGACCCCCAACTGAGCCACACCGGCCGGGCCTGCCTCCTTTAGCTTAAGCACTTTTTATTTCACTGTTCCCATCCTATCCTATATAATAAAAGGGTAATATGCAAATCGACCAAACAGCGGATCCACCGGTCGCTATGACATGCACTGACCACCAGGGGGCAGATGCTCAATGCAGGAGCTGTTCCCTGGTGGTCAGTGCGCTCCCACAGGGGGAGCATTGCTCTGCCAGAAGCCGGGCTGACAGCTGGCCAGCTCACGAGGTGGCGGGAACCTCTCCCACCTCTGCGGCAGCGCTGAGGATGTTCGACTGCAGGCTTAGGCCTGCTCCGGAGCTCCCAGACATCCTGCAAGGGCTCCCGGACTGCGTGAGGGTGCAGGCTGAGCTGAGGGACCCCTCCCCCCATTGCACAGATTTTTGTGCACTGGCCTCTAGTCTTTAACAAATGAACTCTCAAAATCACTTGGACTCGTATCGTGAAGTTTCCTGCACGAAGTCAAGAACCCGCACATTCAGACTGTGCTGGGGCAGACCCTCCTGGGTCCCAGCCCCTCTCCAGTGACACTAGTGCGTTCCCTGTGCAGCTCACATCCTGAAACATGGGAAGTTGTCCTTTCCAGGCTGGGGGCACTTGTTCCCTCTGGGGATTTGGGGCCCTGGTGTCTCTGACTCTCTGTAGTTTGGCACCCCTGTCCCCGGCACTGAGGCCTGGAAGAATCCCATTTGCAGACAAGCTCTTTGCAGAAGGCCCTCTTTCAGGCATGCCCGGTCCTGTGCAGTAGTCCCTGGGCAGGCTCTCTGGGGCTGCGCCCAGGGACTCACTCCTGGCTGAAGCCGTTCATGCAGTGGGGACACAGGAGAGGTGTTAGGGGCAGACAAAGAGTACTGGGGACCATATACAACAGTGGTTCTCAACCTTCCTAATGCCGTGACCCTTTAATACAGTTCCTCATGTTGTGGTGACCCCCAATTTCACTGTTACAAATTGAACATAATTAAAGCATAGCGATTAATCACAAAAACAGTATGTAATTATATATGTGTTTTCCGATGGTCTTAGGCAACCCCTGTGAAAGGGTCATTTGACCCCCAAAGGGGTCGCGACCCACAGGTTGAGAACCGCTGATCTACAATGATAAGAAATATGAATCCTGCTCTGTTAACAGTGATGGTGCTGTTCTGATTAGAGAAAGCACATTCTAACCTGCCTGGGAGTTGTACGCCCTGGGACATGGGAGCTCATGTCGGAATGCAGTCCATCTTCCTGCCCCGAGAACTGCCTGTCATTATGGAAAGATTGACCACCTCGTGGCTGAAACAACGTGGTCTCGGAGGCACCTGCTCTTTACAACATGCGGCCCTGACTGCCTGTAATCTGGTCCTTGGGCACCCGGGGTGCCTGGAGGCGCCTATGCTCTGTGACAGCCATCCCCCTGGCCCCCCACCCCCCCACATGACTTGTGACCTGTCATGATTATACCTTGCCTACTTTCCCACGTACTCTTTGTCCTTCTACCCCATATAGGCGGCTGGCTTATGGAGAGAAGCAGAGTAGGTTTTCGTGGATGACCTGCTGCTCTCCCATAACTGCTAGCAGGACTGGAATAAAGGCTCATATATGAAGGCTCCTGGTTCAGTCCCAGCCTCCACCAGCACCAGAGGCAGCCCCGTGGAAACGCTGCAAAAAGTGGGTGGGTTGCCCTAACTGGTTTGGCTCAGTGGATAGAGCATAGGCCTGCGGACTGGAGGGTCCCAGATTCGATTCCAGTCAAGGGCATGTACCTTGGTTGCGGGCACATCCCCAGTAGGAGGTGTGCAGGGGGCAGCTGATCGATGTTTCTAACTCTCTATCCCTCTCCCTTCCTCTCTGAAAAAATCAATAAAATATATACTTTAAAAAAATAGATCACTGGGGAAGTAGGAATGACAGGCCTGGGGGATTAGGCACGGAATACCCATTGCAGGTTACAGATCTGACCCTTTACCAGGAATTAAGCAGCCAGGGTTGAATCATATGTGAGTGGAGTGGGGGCGGGGCGGGGGGAGGCTCACAGATAGGGCGCCCACGGAGGGACCAGATCACAGGCAACAGGGACGGGGGCGGGGTGCCTCCGGGACTGGACTGTTTCCGCCAGGAGGTTGTCAATCTTTCCGGAATGACAGGCAGCTCCGGGGACAGGCAGCCCGGACCCCGTGGTTGTCCGGTTGCAGGTACCGACGGAACTTCCCGAATGCCCCCAGGTCGGCCTGGTGCACCCTCCGCATCTTACCCTCCAGGACCGTCCTGAACGCCGGGGACGGGGGCTCAGGAGGGCCCTGGGGACACGGGGCTGGGAGTCCGGCCGGGCGGGGCCCGGAGACCCTTCCTCGCCGCTGCCTAGTCGCTCGGCTCACGCGCCACGCCCGCCCGCAGTCGGGGTCCCGACCCCGGAACCAAGGGCCTCGGTCTCGGGTTCCGCAAAGCCGACGCCACCCCTCGGGCCCGAGGGGCCGCCCCCTGGCGGCCAGGGGAACCCGGGCGGGGGGAGGCCGGACTCCCCTGCAGTCACGGGCGTCCGGGCAGAGGCGGGACCTCCGGACCCTCGTGCCTCCCCAGCTCCCGTTTCCTTGGGCGCGGGGAGCCCCCTGGGCGCGGCGCTCAGCCTGGCAACTGGGTCCCTAACCCCCGTGTGAACCTCAGGACCCGACGCGGAAGAAACAGTCGCTGCAGGGAAGTCCCGCCCCATCCCTGCACCGTCATTGGCTAGGGACCTCCCAGAAACGCCCCCCTCCTGATTGCTCATTGGCCGGCTCTTAGGGACGCAGAGCGAGCGGCTTGGAGGCGTCGTAGTTCGGGTCCATTCAGCAGCGACGCCAGGGCGTGCTCCCCGATCACCTAGGCAACGACCAAGCGGCACCGTGATTGGCTGAAAAAAAAGAGTTGTTGTTGGCGGCGAGCCTGGAGCCAATCAGGCGCCGAGGGGCGTTTCCAAGGCGGGAGCGCAGGGCGCGGGGCGGGGTTTCCGTAGCTGCTGCGGGTATTTGTTTCGCACGGGGAGCCCCGCACCGGCGGCCGCTGGAGCGAAGGAGACGGGCTGGGGAGTGTCGGACCTTCGCCGCGACTCTACAGACAGTCCCACCCCCGCGAACGGTGCCGCCTTCGGTTTCCCGGAACCGACGCGATGGGTCCCACGGCCTCGGAGGGAGGAAGGTCCCGGGTTCTCAGTTCCGTTGATACCGGGAGACCGAGGCCCCGAGTGCGACCGACCGACCGTTCGCGCGCGGTCGTCCACCCGGTGGTGTGCGGGGTCCGGTTGGACCCGCAGGGTCCGACCTGGCCGGCAGCGTCGCGGATGGACTCTGGGCAGGTGAGCGGGGATCCCCACCCTCACGGTCCCGGAGCCCCTGGGTCACGTGCAGCTGGGGGTTGGGGTCAGGGCGGGGACCGAGCCACCTGGGGTAGCAGCATGAAGCGTGCAAGCGAGAGGGGCAGGAGGGCTGGGGCCTGGGGTTAGGGCAGGTGACGTCTCTAGCTCAGCAGGGTGGGGACCAGTGGGTCCGGGATTTGTGTGTTAAGAAGAGTGAGGACAGCCCTGGCCGGTGTGGCTCAGAGGTTAGCGCGTTGGCCCGTGCCCCAGAGGGTCGCGGGTTCGATTCCCGGTCAAGAATACGCACCTGGGGTTGCAGGTTCGAACCCCCTGCCCCGGTTGGGGGGGGGGGAATGTGCAGAAGGCGGCCAATCGGTGTGTGTCTCTCTCATGCTTCTCCCCCTCCCGACCTCCTCTCCTTCCCAATCTCTAAAAACCAGTGGGAAAAATACCTCAGGTGAAGATTAACAATTTTTTTTATTAAAAAAAAATATTTTTATTGATTTCAGAGAGGAAGAGAGGGGGGGAGAGAGAGATAGAAACATCAATGATGAGAGAGAATCATTGATCGGCTGCCTCCTGCATGCCTCCTATTGGGGATGGAGCCCGCAACCCGGGCATGTGCCCTTGACTGGAATCGAACCTGGGACCCTTCAGCCTGCAGGCCGATGCTCTATCCTCTGAGCTAAACTAGCTAGGGCACAATATTTTTTTAGTAAAAAGAGAGAGTGTGTGAGGACAGGTCTGACTGGTGAGGGCGTGTGCAAGGGAGGAGTGTTTGAGATCGACTCAGGGTTCCACGGAGCAGAAGGTTGAAGCAACTGAGCATGGAGCGAAAGCATTCACTAGGCGCAGTGGTTCTCAACCTTCTGGCCCTTTAAATACAGTTCCTCATGTTGTGGTGACCCCCAACCATAAAATTATTTTCGTTGCTACCTCATAACTGTCATGTCGCTACTGTTATGAATCGTCATGTAAATATCTGATATGCAGGATGGTCTTAGGCGACCCCTGTGAAAGGGTGGTTCGACCGCCAAAGGGGTCGCAATCCACAGGTTGAGAACCGCTGCACTAGGGGGTGGTGGCTGTCTCTGGCCGCGGGGGTTTTGGAGGTCTGGGCAGGCCAGGTCAGTACTGGGTCCTGGTGGTCTTTCTCACGTCAGCTGTGTGCATAACAGAATATGGGGACTCCAGGGAGACGCCTGAGGTGTGGACAAGGGGTGGCGGGGAGGAGAGTGTGGAATGTATGGTCCCTGTACAAGGTAAGGGGATGTGAGCCAAGGGGCCCTGGTGCTCGAGGCTTGAGGAAGAAAGGAGAGCCCCAATGCTCTCGTACCTGGGGGACATAAAGGAAATGGGCCCGTGGCGGGAGGGGCAGCCTGCCTTTTGTTGCTCTCGGTTGGATTGGCCTGAATATGGTGACTGCAAGGGGTAGGGGACACCAGTGGTGCCGGGGCCGGTTACCTCCTCTGAAGTGGGGGCCTGAGGAGGAGGAGAGGGTGCGGGGAGGATGGACTGAGGGGGTCACAGGAGGAGAGGACAGTGGGAGAGGTCATCTGAGTCCCAGGTCAAGGGCCTGGCTGTGTCCACTGGAGCATTTGTGTGTCTGTTTCCCAGCCGGCCCTTTGGCCCCCTGGCTCCGCCGTCTCCTCATTGCAGAGCCCAGTGACCTTCGAGGACCTGGCCGTATTCTTCTCCAAGGAGGAGTGGGGGCTCCTGGATGAGGCTCGGAGGCGCCTGTACCGCGACGTGATGCTGGAGATCTTCGAGCTCATGGCCTCACTTGGTAAGACCCTGGTGCCGGCCGCGCCATGGCGACCAGCTTCCGCCCTGTGCCTTTCCCCATGGAAAGCTCTGTTTGTCCCAAAGCCCAACCATGGATGCTGCTTCCTCCCCAGGTTTCATGTTGCAGGAGCTGGGCCCTGGCTGTGTGCACGCCTCTGTCTCTTCCTGGGCAGCCTCATGAGTGGTCCTCATAGCAGTGGCCTAGGATCCTGTGGGAGCAGAGGTTGGGGATCAGGCACCTCCAGGCTGCCTAATGGACCCCACTGAGCCTGACCCGGTGTGGGGCCGTGCCCTGGTTCTGTCCCTCTTCCATAAGACGATTTTTCAAAACAGCTTTATTAAGAGACACCATAAGTTCACCCATTTAAAGGATATATTTATATAGGTGTCTGACGATCACAATCCAATTTTAGAATATTTTCATCACCTATAGGGAGACTTTGTACCCATTAGCAGTCATGCCCTATCCTCCCTCATCCCTTTTCCCCAAGTCCTGGGCAACCTCTAATCTACTTCTTGACTCTACAGACTTGCTTATTCTAGACATTTCATTTAAATGGAGTCACACAATATGTGACTAGCTTTCATTTAGCTTATGTTTCAGAGGTCCATCCATGTTGTAGCATAGACAGCATTCATTCCTTTTCATGTATGAAGAATATTCCATTGTATAAAACTTGTTTATCCAGTTGATGGGCATGTGGCTTGTTTCTATGAAACAGTGGCTGCTGTGAAAAATGCTGCTGTGAACATTCGCAGAGGAGTTTTTGTGTAGATATGTTTCCATTTCTCTTCGGTAGACACATAGGAATAGAACTTCCCAATTGTTTTCCAAAATGGTGGCACCATTTTACATTCCCACTGCCGTGCCCGAGTGTCCCAGTTTCTCTGTTTCCTCAATAACACTTGTTTTTTTTCCTTATAGCCATCCCAGTGTGTGTGAAGTGGTATCTCCTTGTGGTTTGGATTTGCATTTCTCTCACGACTAATAAGGTTGAGCATCTTTCATTTGCGTGTGTCTGCACACATTTTTCTCTTCAAGGAATGTTTATTCGTGTCCTTTCCCCCGTCTCTGTCCTTGCCTCTGGTGAGGCCTCCTTCATTCTGTGGCGTGGCTGGGTGCCATTCTACACAGTGGGCCCTTCAGTCTTAATTCTGTCAACGATCCCTTGGTCCCCTTCCTATGTGTGTCAGTTACACATTTCTCATGAAGTCACCCTTTGCACCACATTGAACATTCAGTTAACGAGAAATTTCTCTGTTTTTAGGTTGTTGGCATGAAGTGGAAGACGAGGAGGTCTGTTCCAAGCAGAACGTTTCTGTAGAAGGGGTCTCCCAGGTCAGGATCCCCAATACACATCCTTACACTGAGAAGACTGCTGCCTGTGACATGTGTGGCCCATTTATGAAAGACATTTTGCACCTCGATGAGCAACAAGGAACGCATCCTGAGGAGACCCCCCACACGTGTGGAGCATGTGCAAGGAGGTTTTGGCTCAATGCAAACCTTCCCCAGCGCCAGGAGGAGCGCAGTGGAGAGAAGTCCTGCAGGTGGGACAAGGACAGGGATGCATCTGTGAAGAGTGCTGTAGTCTCCCTATCAGAAAAGCCCTTCATGTGCAGGGAAGGTTGGAAGGATGTCTCAGACAGCCATGCCCTCCGCCAGCGCCCGGCCAGCCACAGCAGTGGGAAGTCACGCAGGAGGACAGAGTGCAGGGAGGCCTTCCCACACAGTTCCCACCTTGGGCGATCCCCAGGAGTCCATACCACAAAGAAGCTCCTCAACCACATGAGAACTCACTCTGAAGTGACACCATTTAGATGTCCAACAGTTGTAGATTCCTTAGAGGAGAAATCAGCCCTTGCTAATGACCAAAAATTCCACACTGGAGAAACATCTCGGGTGTGTAAAGAGTGTGGGAAGGCCTGTAGTTACCCATCGAAGCTGAGGGAGCACCAGAAATTTCACACTGGAATAAAACACTATGAGAATAGTGACTGTGGGAAAACCTTCAGCCGCAAACGCACACTTGTTCATCACCAGAGAATTCACACAGGAGAAAGGCCTCATGAGTGCGGTGCATGTGGGAAAGTCTTTAATAACAGGTCACACCTCACTCAGCATGAGAAAGTTCATACCGGAGAACGGCCTTTTGAGTGCAGTGAGTGTGGAAAAGCTTTCAACAACAACTTTGACCTTGTTAAGCACCAGAGAGTTCACACTGGAGAGCGGCCTTTTGAATGTAGTGAATGTGGAAGAGACTTCAGGCAAAGCTCCCACCTCCTTCGACATCAGAAAGTTCACACTGGAGAGTGGCCCTTTGGGTGCATTGCGTGTGGGAAAACCTTTAGCACTGGCACCACCTTCATTCAGCACCAGAGAACACACGCCAGGCAAAGGCCATATGAGTGCAGCAAATGTGGGAAAACCTTCAGCCGCAGTTCCAGCCTGGTTCAGCACCGGAGGATTCACACTGGAGAAAGGCCTTTTGAATGCAGTGAGTGTGGAAGAACTTTTAACAAAAACTCCAACCTTGCTCAGCACCAGAGAGTTCACAGTGGAGAGCGGCCTTATGAATGTAGTGAATGTGGAAGAGCTTTTAACAAAAACTCCAATCTTGCTCAGCACCAGAGAGTTCACAGTGGAGAGCGTCCCTATGAATGTAGTGAATGTGAAGTAGGCTTCAGCCGAAGATCCCACCTCCTGAGACATCAGAAAGTTCACACTGGATAGTGGCCCTTGGGGTGCAGCAAATGTGGGAAGGCCTTCAGCACTAGCACCATCCTCACTCAGCACCAGAAAGTACACACCAGGCAAAAGCCATACGAGTGCAGCAAATGTAGGAAAACCTTCAGCCGCAATTCCAGCCTGATTCAGCACTGCAGGATTCACACTGGAGAAAGGCCTTTTGAGTGCAGTGAATGCCTGAGGGCCTTCAGCACCAACTCTCACCGGATTTGTCACCAGAGAGTGCACACACAAGAAAAGCCCTACAAGTGCCGTCAGTGTGGGAAAGCTTTTAGTGAAAAATCCACACTTGTTCAACACTAGGTAGTTCACACCAGAGAAAGGACTTACGAGTGTGGCCACTGTGGGAAAGTCTTCAGCTGCCTCTGCAGCCTTGCTCAGCATAAAAGGATTCATACCTGAGAGGAGCCTTATGGATGTGAGTCCAACTTCATGCAGCAGAACCACCACAGAGAAATTACTTCATGTACCACGGATGTCGAGAAAACGTCAGGAGCTACTGTGCCCTTTCTGAGCAGCCGAGGAACCTGGACAGAGCTGTGTCCCCTGGAGCAGAGTCCACTTCCCAGCCTGCCTGGATCCCAGTATTTGCAGTGGTCATTTGCATACGCACGGAGAAAACATCTTCATGGGCCTGCCTTCCCCTTTCCCAGAGCTAATCGGGAGTCCTGGACCCAGTGGAATGGCTTCATTCCCATTGCCTCTGAGAAGGTTCAGGAATGAACTGGGCCGGTGCTGGGGGAGGGGCCTTGAGGGATGTCCAGTTGGGGCTCCTTGGGAAGATGTATGTTCCCTAAGGGTGGGTGGTATTCCATTGAAAATTTTCCCACTAGTCCCAGTATTGTTTTTCTGATGTTAATCTTCACAACTGCCACTAATTTGTTTTATTTTATAAAACCGACATTTTGTCTGGTCACCATGAAGACTAAGCCCTTCATATACTAGAGTCGCAAAGAGTCACTTTGCTTCCTTAGGTGACGTTGTGGACGAATGTTTGCATCCCCCAAAATTCACAGGTTTAAGCCCGGCCCCCTCCGTGATGGGCCTTTGAGAGGTAAACAGGGTTAGGGGAGGTCAGAGGCTGGAACCTGATGAAGGGATTACTGTCCTTATTAGAAGGGATGAGAGAGCAGAGCTTCCTCTCCAAACCATGTGAGGACAGCGGAGCGATGGCTGTCCGCAAGCAAGGAAGGGAGCGCTCATCCATCCACACGCCTGGACTGAAACTGCCAGCACCTGGATCTTGGACGGCCCAGCCTCTAGAAATGTGGGAAATTCCTGTGTGTAAGCCACCCCAGCTGGGGTACTGCTACAGCAGCCAGAGCAGACTGCGACAGCAGAGATGAGGAAGGTCCCCCTCACGGGCATCTACAGAGCAAAATGATGTCTGCCCTCGTGAACCAGTTCAGTCTTACAAGACAAGGTATCAAACAGAGCACTGAGTTTCAGCCCTGCCCCTGCTTAAGTAATGTGGAGACGTGCCCGTTTATTCATACCTGTCACCAAACTGATTTGTTTACTGTGAGAAAACAGACTGACGCTTGCCCTGCTGACATGGGGTCCAGGCATGTCACATACCAGTGAAAAAATAAGCATTTTACCTCTGTAGCTGAACTATAAAAGGCAAGAAACACTATCGTTGTCAGTATCAATGAAGCCCTGAGCCCTTTTGGTATACTGGTATGTCTTTAACAAGCACAAATGCAGCCCTGATTTCAAACGTCCAGAGTGGGGTGGAGGGTTCGAATCCTCCCTGACATCGAGGCACAGAGGACACAGAAAGGGAGAGAATGACTCTTCACAGGGCAGTGAGTGCAGGGACTCATGACGAGAGGCCATCTTGGCTCGGCTGTTGAAGGGGTGTCACTGGGAGAGGCAGAGAGGACCAGGGAGGGGCAGGCACCCATGACAAGCTGAGGGAACCCAAAAAAAGTGTCCTGGGGCCAGGAGCTGCTGTGTGGCTTCTAGAACAGAATGTGGGGAGAGGACAGTCCCAGGACGGAGGCTGTGGCCATGGGCTGCTGGTGCTGGTTTGCCAGGTGAGGTTTTGGCTAACATGATGGCATTAGGGCGGGATAGCGAGAAGCTGGGGAAATTCCCGGGCAAGTAGAATGGGGAAACTGAGACAAGAAAATTAAGGCTCAACAGTTTGGGCAGTTTGCAGCCTGCCTGTGAACTGCAAGACCTTATCCTCCCTACGCAAGGGCATTTGAGAGCAAATGGCTTACACCCGAATCTCTTACTAGGAAATACACAGCTTAACTCACCCTGGCCTGGGAAAGCAGAGAACAAAGACCCAATTCATGTCACTTGTGGCAGCTAAACCCACGGACGGACGAAGTTGGGGAGCCAGTAACAAAAACTCCCATGAAGCCAGACAGACCGAAGATGAAACAGGCCAAAGAATAATCCAAAACTCCCCTATACACCCATGTTGGTGCATCAGCATATTAAAAATGCCCCTGTCCCGTCTGGCGTGGCTCAGTGGTCCGATTTCCTGTCGGGGCACATGCCTGGGTTGTGGGTTCGATTCCCAGTGTGGGGCGTGTGATCAATGATTCTCATCATTGATGTTTCTATCCCTCCCTTCGCTAAAATCAATAAATATATTTTTAAGAAATGCACTTGGCCATGGCTGGTGTGCCTTAGGGGTTAGAGTGTCGGCCAGCATACCCCAGGGTTGCAGATTCGATTCCCTGCGTTGCAGGTTCAATAGCCGGCACATTCCGGGGTGCTTGCGGGAGGCCACGGATCAGTGTGTCTCTCATGTAACGCACGTGGTGAAGTCTTTCCTACAAAATCAAGAGCCCATGCCCTACAGGTTGGGGTGAGGCCGACCTGCTCGGTGCCGGTCCCTGTTCAGTAACAGGATGAGTCCCGCCCAAACTGGCACCCTGGACGGGCCAAAGGGTCCACGCCACTGGCTTTGTTGAGGATGTCCCAGCATCACCATGGCAACGTGACTCTCCACCCGTCCCCCATCAGGTTGGCTGCTGTTGGAGCCCCAGGCAAACACCAGAAGGCAGATTCAGGGCAGGTGCGGAGGGCCCTTCACCCGGGTGCAGGGGCCGCCCTCCAAGACCTAGGCAGGGCCACCCCCACACACACACAGCGACTGAGCTCTATGACCAGTGTCACCAAACCCCACTTGCTCGGAGACCTGAGCTCCACCTGGCTCAGCGGGACTTTAATTTTTAAAAATATATTTTTGTTGATTTTAGAGAGGAAGGGAGAGGGAGAGAGATACACGTACCCATGATGAGAGTCATTGATTGGCGGCTTCCTGCATGCCCCCTACTGGGGATGGAGCCCGCAACCCAGGCACGTGCCCTGGCTAGGATTCGAATCGTGAACTCCTAGTTCATAGGCTGACACTCAACCACTGAGCCATGCTGGCCAGGCTTTAATTTTATTTTTAGTTTTTTAGAGAGAGAGGAAGGGAGAGAGAGAAACACCCACCGGCTGTCTCCTACATGCCCCCTGCCGGGTCTGAGCCCACAACCCTGGGCATGTATGTGCCCTGATGGGGAATCAAACCGGTGACCCCTTTTTCTTTTTTTTACTGATTTCACCGAAGGAGAGCGAGATAGAAACATCAATGATGAGAGAGAACCATGGATCGCCTGCCTCCTATACGTCCCCCACTGGGTATTGAGCCCGCAACCTGGGCCTGTGCCCTGACCAGGAATTGAACCCTGACCTCCTGGTTCATAGATTGACGCTCAACCACTGAGCCACACTGGCTAGGCTGGCGACCTCTTTGTGCATGGGTCTACGCTTAACCACTGACCCACACCCGGGCAACTCGGCTGGACTTTAAATATGCTCTCACACAGACGCCCAAGTTGGAGGCAGACGATTATTACACCCGGGGAAGACGCCTGAACAGGCTTAGAGGTAAACTCCCTGAATGCAAGCTCGTCTGGGGTTCTTCCCGTGTGGTCATCACTCTTCCCGCCATCAGCAGGACGTTAGGTCGCCAAAGGAGGAACGCACAAGGCCAGGGTGGGGCCGGATTACGAATTTATTCCATCACCCCGCACGCCCGGCGGCTGAGCCTGGCTGGCTCCGGCCCCCAGCGACGGGAGTGAGCGGCTTTTAAAGGACTTTTGGTGGGATTTCTCCTGGGAGGAGACTCCTTTGTGCAGACCCCGAGGGGAGAGAATGGAGTGTGGTCTCAGCAAAGGGAAGGTCCATAGTGAAATGGCCCGAGAAGCCAGTCCTGGGGTGGGGGGTGGGGTATCAATTGCTCCATCCAACCTGACAGAGGAGGGCGAGAAGCATCACCCTGGAGAGAGGCAGCCCCGGTGGTTTCCAGCCCAGCACATAGTAGGACGACGCTCCCAACACAGTGCCCACCAACAGGAAGCACTTCGGGGCCAGGGACACAGCGATGGGCAGCGTACAGTTTTGCTGAACTGACGTTCTACTTGCGGCGAAATGTCCAAAACGTTTTAAAGCAAAAGGCCCCACAAACCAGGACATCTGGATCTGCATGTTGATTCAAGCACTTCTCTCCCTGGAGCCCAGAAACAGGCAGCAAAAGCAGCGAAGGCCGTGGTGTGCAGATGCCAGGACCGCTGGGTCACACAGGCCGCGTCCCGGGTGAGGCCACGGGGTGAGCACGCCCAGCGGGGCGAGGAGAACCCAGGAGACTGCAGACACGTGGTGAGCGTGACCCTGGCCACAGGTCACAGGCCCGCCGTTGGGGGGGGGGGGCGGGGAGGGTTAAGCAACCCGCAGCTCCCGAAACCACAGCTGCTGGAACATCTGTGGAAGCCCCTTGAGAGCCCGCTCAGACCCCCTCCCCCCGTGTGCAGTGTCCCTGTGCCCCGTCTCTTCCCACAGGCCCTGCGGGTTTTGTGGTTTGTCTATCAGACCTACTGCCGCGTCCGAGTTCAGACGACACAGCTTCGGAGTGACTCTGGGAAGAGCCTCCTCTGGCCAAGGCTGCGGACCGAGCAGCGTCCCCGGAACCAGGGCCCTGGGAACACGTGGGCCATCCGGTAGCAGCTCCCCCATTCCTGATCCACCAGGAAACCTGACAGCCAGGCGACACCATTCACCACCAGGCCTCTGGGGTCTCCCTGCAGGTCTCAGGCCTGTGAGCCAGGCCGGCCAATCAGAGCTGTGCCCTGCCATCCGGCCGGCCCCCCAGGCAGGTGGACATCAGGGAGGCCGCTCCCTCTGTTCATGAGCCCAATCTCGTCCTTTATCCCCTCACAGAGAGACCAGGATCCCCAGGATTAAAGGTGACAAGGCCTTTTTTAAAAAATGGTTTTATTGATTTGAGAGAGAGAAAGGGAAAGGGAAAGAGAGAAACATCCATCGATGAGAGAGAACCATCGATCTACTGCCTCTCTTGCTGGGGATCCAGCCCGCAAACGGGGCACGTGTCCTGACTGAGAATCGGATCAACAACCTCTGGGTGCACGGGATGTCCAACCCCCTGAGCCGCACTGGCCAAGCCAACAACAAGGCCTCATTGCTGTGCCCTCCGGAGCAGTGTCAACAGTACGAGGGACCGTTCAGCTTCCCCGCACGCCCCAGTGGGCACTGCTTAGCGACCGTTGGCCACAGCGGGGCGATGCCCACACCTGAACCAGTCGGGACGTAACGCCCAATGTGGGCTCCAACACTCAGGACTCTGTTCTACACGGAGCAGGGAGCATGGAGGTCTGCTGTCCCTGAGCACACTGGGCGGCAGATGCCACCTTGGGGAATGCCGGATGGCAGCGGCCTGGGCAGGTCAGCGTGCAGCACAGCTCCCGGAAGCTTCCCGCACACGCGACCCCTCCCGGCGGGGTGTGGGGTGTGCCTGGCTCACCTCTCAAACGGCTTCTCTCCTCAACCTCCTCCCTGGAGAGAGACCTTCCGCGTTGAGCAAGGTGCCGGCTGTGGCAAAAGGCCTTCCCACATCCCGGCCGCTACGACCCTGCTCCCGTGTGGACTTTCTTGTGCTGCAGGAGCGTGGAGCTGTGTTTGAAGGCTTTGCCGCACTCCGCACACTCGTGGGCCCGCTGCTCCGTGTGGAACTGCTGGTGCCGGTTGCGGTAGGACCTGGTGGTGAAGGTCTTCCCGCACAGGCCGCACTCGTAGGGCCGTTCGCCGGTGTGGGCCTTCCCGTGCTGGTACAGGCCGGAGCGCGTCACGTACGCTTTCCCACACTGCGTGCACGCGTAAGGCTTCTCTCCAGTGTGAACTCTCTGGTGGAGCACGAAGCTCTGGCTGTACTTAAAGAACTTCCCACATTCCCGGCACTCGTAGGGCCTGTCTCCGACGTGCACCTTCCGGTGCCGGATGAGGGTGGACAGAACGCTGAAGGCTCTGCCGCACTCGCCGCAGGCGTAGGGCCTCTCCCCGGTGTGGATCCTCCGGTGCAGCACGAGGGCGTCTTTGCGGCTGAAGGTTCTCCCGCACTCGCCGCAGCCGAAAGGTCTGACGCCCGTGTGCACCTTCTGGTGCTTCCTCAGTTTCGACGGGTAGCTGAAGGCCTTCCCGCACTCGTGGCACACGTGGGGCGTTCCTCCCGTGGGGCTCTTCCTGTGACCAGCCGGGGCCCCGTTCTCCCCGGGGGCATCTCCGCCTTTGGGGCACCCGCAGGGTCTCTCCTCACAGCGAGTTACCAGGTGGCCGAGGAGCGCGGAGGCCTCCGGGAAGGCTGTCCCGCAGCCGCTGCACCTGACTCCCTGCTGCTGGCGCCGGGAGCCGGGTGGCAAGGGCTCCCGGTGCCCCGTGCTGCTGTGTGGCCTCCCCTCACCGAGGGTGCCCTGGTGCCGGGGGCGGCCGGGCGGGGCAGGGCCGTCCTCCTCAGGCTCCCCTTGCCCAGGGTGCCTCTCTGGCAGGTGGACTCTGCAGCTCCTCACCTGCGGAGGGGCCTCCGGGTCGTCCAGTCTCCGGGGACACCCTGAAACAGCAAGGTCAGGTGCCAACAGCTGGGAGAGAGGGAGGAGGCACCTCCACCCCCATGTGCGTTCGACGCGCCCGGACAGGAGCCGCGACGGCCAGGAGGCGGCTGGGGACTGTTTGGGGGAGAAAGGGGCGAGGAGCAGGGCGGGGAGCGGGGTCTCCGCATCGCGCCCCTGCAGCAGGCTTCCCGCGGGGCCCGAGCTGCCGGTGACAGTGAGCTCTGCGAGAGGCTGCGTCTACGCCGAGGAAAAGACGGCTGAGCACAGGGAAGGGGCAATGACAGGGCGCAGAGGCAGAGAGGCAGGTCATGGGGCCTGGCCAGGGGAGAGGAGAAAGGAGGTGGGAAATGCCAGTGCACCAGACCCCGCAGCCAGCAGGCTGAGGTCCACCCCGAGAACGAGGCACCTCCGGCCCCACCGGCCGAGACCAGGACCCTCCCGGCTCCCGCTGTGCTGACCAGTCTCGCCCACCATGATGGGTACCCAGGGCTCCGCTTCACCCTGCAGTTGGGCCACCACATGGAACCCCGAAGGCACAAATCCTAGGAGACAGTGTAAGAGGACCCCCTCCCCACAAGTGAAGGCTGACCCAGCTGGCCACACACCCCAGGAAGCTCATGTCGCCATGGCAACCAGAAGGAACCTGAGTCTTAGAAAAGAAACCTCCCCCGTATATTTAAACATTCACTGAGGCCCGGCCAATGTCGCTCAGTGGTTGAGCATCGACCTAAGAACCAGGAGGTCCGGTTCGACTCCCAGTCAGGGCACAGGCCCGGTCACAGGTTCGGTCCCCAGGGTGGGCCGTGCAGGAGGCAGCCAGTGGATGATTCTCTCTCATCAATGACCTTTCTTTCTCTCTCTCTCTCTTTCTCTCTCTCCCCCTTCCTCTCAGAAAACAATAAAAATATATATTTTTAAAAAATTATAGAACAGCCCAAGCTGGTTTGGCTCACTGGATAGACCGTCGGCCTGTGGACTCAAGGGTCCCGGGTTCGATTCCAGTCAAGGGCATGTACCTGAGTTGCGGGCACATCCCCAGTAGGGAGCGTGCAGGAGGCAGCTGATCTATGTCTCTCATCGATGTTTCTAACTCTCTATCCCTCTCCCTCTCCCTTCCTCTCTGTAAAAAAATCAATAAAATATATTTTTAAAGAAATTACAGAACAGCTAAATAAATGGAAAGACATGTCATGTCCGTGGCTCAAGCCTGGCCCGGGGAGGGCCCTAGCGAATTCCTTTAGTTGGAAGAAGGCAAAACCCGGCGCAAGAGGCCATGGCTTCCGCAGGGTCACGGAGGGCGGCCGAGAGGCGGAGACCAGCCCACGCCCAGGGCCCGCCCCTGCCCTGGGCACCAACCCCGGGGCTTTAGGAGGAACAGGAACCCCGTGGGGAACAGCCCTTGGCGGGCCAGTGTGCGGGCGGAGCCTGAGGGCCTTACCCAGCGAGACGGTGAGCGCGAAGTTCTCCAGCATCACCTCCCGGTACAGGCTCCTCTGCGTGCGGGTGAGGAGCGTCCACTCCTCCCGGGAGAAGTACACGGCCACGTCCTCGAAGGTGACCGGGCCCTGTGGGGTGGCGTCCACTCAGCCTGGGGGTCCACAGCGGCCAGAAAAGCCAGCCCGAATGCAGACCAGGGGGTCCCGACCTGTCTGGCCGTGCCCCCCCTAAGCACCTCTAAAATCCTGATACCCACTCCCCCCTCCCCATAGCATATAATTCTTATTATTCAAAAAATGAACTGTTGCCCTGGCCAGTTTGGCTCAGCGGATAGAGCATCGGCCTGCGGACTGAAGGGTCCCGGGTTCGATTCCGGTCAAGGGCATGTACCTGGGTTGCGGGCACATCCCCAGTGGGGGGCGGGCAGGAGGCGGCTGATCGATGTTTCTAACTCTCTATCCCTCTCCCTTCTTCTCTATGAAAAAAAAATCAATAAAATATATTAAAAATAATAATAATACAAAGTGATATGGAAAAAATAGTAAACAAAGTTTCAAAACATAACAGAGATCTGATGTGCATAAATATGCCACAATATACGTTTATAAACTGTCCATGAGGCCCCAGAGCCATAAGAAATGCAAAAAACTCACTGTTAATAACTCAATTCTCCAGTTGCCCCCCTTAAACACCAAACTGCCCCCCGTGGGGCGTCTGTGGGGCGATGGGGACCCCTGATGTCGACGGGACACATCCAGCCCCGGACTTGGGGGTCCGAGCCCTGCTCCGCCCTTCCCTTTGCGCCCCAACACCCCCCCGACCCTGCACCCGCCAGGAGCACCAGCCGCACCCCATCTGCTGCCACCAGGCCCCCCGGATCCAGGGGTCACCCCTTAGAGCCCAGCCTTCTCTCTCCGGCACCAGAACCTGGTCTGGGGTCCCCCCACCCCCAGGCGACCTTTGCGCCCACCAGGCACCCAGCCCCGCGCCCCGCTCCCCGTCCGCGCTCCACGGCCAGAGAGACAGCGCGGAGAGCAGCCGCCCTCCGCCCCTCCCAGCCTGGCTCCCTCCTGGGCTCATCGGAACCGGACCCCCTGCCGCTCACCCGCGCCTCCTCGGCCATCGGAACCTGTGGGCGCAGCGTGGCTCGGAGCGCGTCATCCGCGGGGAGCGGGGCGCCGCGGGCGGGGAGCCGTCTCCGGAGGCGCGGGGGACGCGGCCTGACGCAGACGGGGCCGCCCTTCTCCTTCGCCGCCCGCGGGTCCGCCACACACTCTCCGGGAGACCGCACGGACGCGCCGCCGGAGCCACCGGAAGTCCCGCCCCGGCCGTGCTGCGGCCGCTTCAAGCTCGCACTCCATTTCCCAGCGCCCCACGCGGGGCCGCTCGCTTGTTGCCACGGCGACAGGGGAGCGCGCTCCCAGCCGCGGCTGGACGCACCGGAACTACATTTCCCACAGTGCCTCGCGGGGCGACCGTGACGTAGCAACCGACAACGGCCGGGAAAGGGGCGTTTCGGAGGGAGCCGCGCTAGACGCTTCGCTCCGTTACTACGGACCCACTCGGGGCGGCGGAGCAGGTTGCTGCGCGGCCGCCGGCGTCCGGGACACGGGAGCGGGTGAGGCGAGCGAGCGGGGCGGCCCCACGGCGACCTGCGCGCCCGGGGCCTGGCCGGTGGCGGGGTTAGCGAGGCGGGGGCTCGGGCGGGGAGAACGGCGGCGGCGGCGGGTCTGAGAGGGGCGGGAGGGGCAGGGACCCGGCGTGGAGTTGAGGGGACGGGGGGTTTCCTTTTTCATTTTTTAAAAATATTTATTTTTATAGATTTCAGAGAGGAAGGGAGAGGGAGAGAGAGAAACATCCCTGATGAGAGGGAATCAGGGAGCGGCCGCCTCCCGCGCGCCCCCTACCGGATCCAACCGCCACCCGGGCGCGTGCCCCGAGCGGGATCCAACCGTGACCTCCGGGTTCAGAGGTCGAAGTTCAACCGCTGAGCGACTCCAGCTGGTCCTAATTAATTAATTATTTTAAATATTATTTTCAGCCCTGACCGGTGTGGCCCAGCGGATGGAGCGTCGGCCTGCGGACTGGACGGTCCCGGGTTCGATTCCGGTCAAGGGCATGTACCTTGGTCGCGGGCACATCCTTAGTGGGGGGGGTGCAGGAGGCAGCTGATCCATGTTTCTAACTCTCTATCCCTCTCCCTTCCTCTCTGTAAAAAATCAAAATATATTTTTTTAAAAATAAAAAATATTATTTTTATTGATTTTATTTTTTTATTGGTTTCAGAGAGGAAGGGAGAGAGAGATAGATAGAAACATCAATGATGAGAGAGAATCATGGATCGGCTGCCTCCTGCACAGCCCCTACTGGGGGGCATCGAGCCCGCAACCCGGGCCTGTGCCCTTGACCGGAATCAGACCCGGGACCCTCCAGTCTGCAGGCCGACGCTCAATCCATTGAGCCACACCGGCTAGGGCTGGTCTTAATTTTTTATTTATTGATTCTTAGAGAGAGAGACATACACACACACACACGGATTTGTTGCATCTTCATACGCATTCATTGGTTGGCTCTTTTCTGTGCCCTGAGCAGGGATCGAACCCACAACCTCGGCGTACTGGGAAGACGCTCCCGCCAGCGGCAATACTCAGCCAGGGTGAGCGGAGGTGCTTTGTAGGGTGCTCCCCAGTCCAAGCCCCGCCCAGCCTGCCAGCCTCAGTTTACCCATCGGTCATCCTGGACACCTCCGCTCCCTCTGAGGAGAAGGGGGGAGCTGGAGGGGTCCCAGGAGCCTGAGGGGGAGGCCATGTGGCCAAGAGGATGGCTCTCTCCTGAGTCCTCTGGGCATCACCCGCCTGGTGAGGTCCCCTCCTCGGGCCTGGGGGCCCCTGTGCACCGTGGGTACACAGCAGGTGCCCAGTAAACACCAGTGGGTCAAAGCGTCCCCCTTCCTCTGCCGCGTCCTTTCCCAGAGGCTGAGCCCTTCCCAGGTCTAGGCCGCCCCTCAGTCCTTCCTGCGGGTTCTCGGCTTGGGCACACCCCTCCCTCCTCTGTTACCTTTCTCCCAGGCCCCGAAGAGACGCAGCCTCCTTGCTGGGCCTGGGCCTTGGGCTGGCTCCCCTTAACCCGCCTCCCTGGCCCCCTCGGCCGCCTGTTCCAGGGCAGAGCAGACTCGGGTCCCCAACGGCCTCCGGCTTTCAGAAGGCAGACATGGCAGCGGCGTCCTCCCAGCGCAAGAGGGCGAGTCCCAAGCCCGAGCTGACCAAGGAGCAGATCCAGGAGATCCGGCAGGCGTTCGACCTCTTTGACACAGATGCCACTGGGACCATCGACGTCAAGGAGCTGAAGGTGGCGATGAGAGCCCTGGGCTTTGAGCCCAAGAAAGAAGAGATTAAGAAAATGATCGGTGACATTGACAAGGAGGGGACCGGGAAGATGAACTTCAATGACTTCCTGACGGTGATGACGCAAAAAATGTGCGAGAAAGACACCAAGGAGGAAATCCTGAAGGCGTTCAAGCTCTTCGACGACGACGAGACCGGCACCATCTCCTTCAACAACCTGAAGCGCGTGGCCAAGGAGCTGGGCGAGAACCTCACGGACGAGGAGCTGCAGGAGATGATCGACGAGGCCGACCGCGACGGCGACGGGGAGGTCAGCGAGCAGGAGTTCCTGCGCATCATGAAGAAGACCAGCCTCTACTGAGCCTCCTCCTCTCCTCTCTCCTCTCCCCTCCTCTCCTCTTCGCTGGGAGCACCGTTCCCGTGAGCGTCTTCTCCTCTCCTCGCTGCGAGCACCGTTCCCGTGAGCGTCTTCTCCTCCTCGCTGCGAGCACCGTTCCCGTGAGCGTCTTCTCCTCCTCGCTGGGAGCACCGTTCCCGTGAGCGTCTTCTCCTCTTCGCTGGGAGCACCGTTCCCGGGAGCGTCTTCTCTCCTCTTCGCTGGGAGCACCGTTCCCGGGAGCGTCTCCTCCTCTTCGCTGGGAGCACCGTTCCCGTGAGCGTCTTCTCCTCTTCGCTGGGAGCACCGTTCCCGTGAGCGTCTTCTCCTCCTCGCTGCGAGCACCGTTCCCGTGAGCGTCTTCTCCTCTTCGCTGGGAGCACCGTTCCCGGGAGCGTCTCCTCCTCGCTGCGAGCACCGTTCCCGTGAGCGTCTTCTCCTCTTCGCTGGGAGCACCGTTCCCGGGAGCGTCTCCTCTCCTCGCTGGGAGCACCGTTCCCGGGAGCGTCTCCTCCTCTTCGCTGGGAGCACCGTTCCCGTGAGCGTCTTCTCCTCTCTTCGCTGCGAGCACCGTTCCCGTGAGCGTCTTCTCCTCCTCGCTGGGAGCACCGTTCCCGGGAGCGTCTTCTCCTCTCTTCGCTGCGAGCACCGTTCCCGTGAGCGTCTTCTCCTCTCTTCGCTGGGAGCACCGTTCCCGGGAGCGTCTTCTCCTCCTCGCTGGGAGCACCGTTCCCGTGAGCGTCTTCTCCTCTCCTCGCTGCGAGCACCGTTCCCGTGAGCGTCTTCTCCTCCTCGCTGGGAGCACCGTTCCCGGGAGCGTCTTCTCCTCTCTTCGCTGGGAGCACCGTTCCCGGGAGCGTCTTCTCCTCTCCTCGCTGGGAGCACCGTTCCCGGGAGCGTCTTCTCCTCCTCGCTGGGAGCACCGTTCCCGTGAGCGTCTTCTCCTCTCCTCGCTGCAAGCACCGTTCCCGTGAGCGTCTTCTCTCCTCTTCGCTGCGAGCACCGTTCCCGTGAGCGTCTTCTCCTCTTCGCTGCGAGCACCGTTCCCGTGAGCGTCTTCTCTCCTCTTCGCTGCGAGCACCGTTCCCGTGAGCGTCTTCTCCTCTCTTCGCTGGGAGCACCGATCCCGTGAGCGTCTTCTCCTCTCCTCGCTGGGAGCACCGTTCCCGTGAGCGTCTTCTCCTCTCCTCGCTGGGAGCACCGTTCCCGGGAGCGTCTTCTCCTCTCCTCGCTGGGAGCACCGTTCCCGGGAGCGTCTTCTCCTCTCCTCGCTGGGAGCACCGTTCCCGGGAGCGTCTTCTCCTCTCTTCGCTGGGAGCACCGTTCCCGGGAGCGTCTTCTCCTCTCTTCGCTGGGAGCACCGTTCCCGTGAGCGTCTTCTCCTCCTCGCTGGGAGCACCGTTCCCGGGAGCGTCTTCTCCTCTCTTCGCTGGGAGCACCGTTCCCGGGAGCGTCTTCTCCTCTCTTCGCTGGGAGCACCGTTCCCGGGAGCGTCTTCTCCTCCTCGCTGGGAGCACCGTTCCCGTGAGCGTCTTCTCCTCTCCTCGCTGCAAGCACCGTTCCCGTGAGCGTCTTCTCTCCTCTTCGCTGCGAGCACCGTTCCCGTGAGCGTCTTCTCCTCTTCGCTGCGAGCACCGTTCCCGTGAGCGTCTTCTCTCCTCTTCGCTGCGAGCACCGTTCCCGTGAGCGTCTTCTCTCCTCTTCGCTGCGAGCACCGTTCCCGTGAGCGTCTTCTCCTCTCCTCGCTGGGAGCACCGTTCCCGTGAGCGTCTTCTCCTCTCCTCGCTGGGAGCACCGTTCCCGTGAGCGTCTCCTCCTCTTCGCTGGGAGCACCGTTCCCGGGAGCGTCTTCTCCTCTTCGCTGGGAGCACCGTTCCCGTGCCCGCTGCTGTGCGGACCTGGCTTTTGGGAGCACAGATGTTTCTTCCCCACTAACCTCCCTGCACAGCTTTAGTAACAACCTCACACCCGCTTTCAGCTTTTGCAACTGTTCTCGGAAAAGTTCTTTGTGAGGTGACCTGCTGCTTCCGTTAATTCTCCGGAAAAGAACAAGAGCTCATCGGAGGGCTCACCCACCCGCCGTTCCGCCTTGTGCTGCTTCCCTCTGGCATGAGCCCACCTTATGGCGCCACAGAAAGACGTCGCAGGCAGACACACGTCGTAACTTTGTCACCACAGACAGCAGGCATCTCTACGACGGTTCTGGTTTGAATCGACACCTGAGTGCAGCTTTCTCTTTTAAAAGATCCAGTGAACTCTCTCACTTGCAATTGAATATTTTTTTCCTATGTTTTGTGTTAAAATAAAGCCTAAAAAAAAAAAAAAACATTCCCCGTGCAAGTGGAGTGTTTAATGGGCCTTCTTTACTGCGGCCCATTTTACAGAAAGAGAGAACCAAAGCCCCAAGTCCAGGCCTCTCAGGCACCCTACCAGGACCTGCGCTTTGGGGGTTCAGAGGACCTGGGGGGAGGAGCAAGCCTGGGACAGGTGTGGGGGGCGGTGCCCAGCAAGGAGGAGTAGGCAGAGGGAGAGCTGGGTGGGCACAGCTCCAGGCGGCCACAAAGGCTGTGAGGCGAGCATGGGGCCGGGAGGCAGGGCAGGCCCCATGACCCGGGCCCCCATGATCCGGGCCCCAGGCTGGTTTCAGCAGCTCCTTTGTTTCCGGCGCAGTGGGCGGGCGGGTGGGCATCGAGGTAGCAATCAGCAGCCGGGGATGCCCAGCAGTCCCCGGCTCTGTCATCAGCCCCATTTTACAGGAGGAGAGACTGAGGCCACAGGCTCCCAGCTGGGAGGGTGGAGAAGCCCAGCTTCCTTGTAGCCCCCAGGAGGAAGCTGGTTAGCGGAGGGAGGGGCCAGCCCCCCCTGGACCCTCAGCCACCACCTCACTGGTCCAGTTACCCCGAACTCAGTGCCACCTGTCATCTCCCTGAGTGTCCTTGAAGATACAGCGCTGAGGTCTCTTCCTCCAGGCAGCCTTCCTTGAACACACTCAGGCAGAGAGCATCATCTTTTGCTCTTCTGTGAACTGCCAGTCAAGGGTCCCTTTCTGGTCCCCCGGCTGGACCCATCCCTGGCAGGTCTGTCCCCTCCTGGGGCGCAGGAGGGAAGGGATGACGAGGGCGCTGTCTGGGACTCGATATAAACTAGATAATGGCCCCCACAGATGTGCAGACCCCGATTCCTGGGATCTGATACCTTCATGGCAAGATGGGCCTGTGGACGTGGTTGAGGGGAGAGTGTGCTGGCTAGTCGGGGTGGGCTCACTTCGTCGCAAGCTTTTTATTTAGTTTTTTCTGTTAATCCTCACATGAGGATATTCCACTGATTTTTAGAAAGAGTGGAAGGGGAAAGGAAAGACAGAGAAACATCGATGTGAGAGAGAGATGCATCGATTGGTTGCCTCCTGCACGCCCCCTGACCAGGGCCAGGGACCTGCAACCAAGGTACGTGCCCTTGACCAGAATCGAACCCAGGACTCTTCAGTTCATGGTCCAACGCTCTATCCACTGAGCCACACCGACCAGGGTCAGAGAGAGATACAGAGATACTACCCTGCAGCCGGGAGGACAGGCATTCACCCCTGGAGCCCCTGGGAGGAACGGACCTGTGATCACCTGGACTTCAGTCAGGGGAGACCGATTATACACGTCTGCCTGCAGAACTGCGAGGCCCTGCGTGTTGTTCTCAAGAACCGAGTTGGCAGAAGGATGTGGCAGCCGCCAGAGAATACGGCACATCACCAGCCTTGCTCCTGCCTGACCGGCCCCTCCCTGCGGGCTGGGCTCCAGTGACGGGGTCACGCAGGTATGGGACTGGGACTGGTCTGGGAAGACACTCCCTCGGTGCCCTGCTGCTCCCGGCTCCAGGCTTTCCCCCGGGAAGCGGCAGCTCCCATCCACAGGAGCTCCGCCAGCTGCCAGGTCAGGGTGGCGGGCGGCCAGCGGGGGGGGCCCAGTGTCCACAGGCATCCTGGGCGGCTCCCTGGTCCCCTGCGAGGCTGTCCCTCCCTCCCTCCCTGTGTGCCAGCTGCCGAGGACCCAGTGTCAACAAATCAAACGGGAGCCTTCAGCCCCATGGAAGTCACGTTGGAAAACGCTGGGTGCCCACGGCTGGCGTGGCTCGGGGGCTGAACGTTGACCTATGAACCAGGAGGTCACGGTTCCAGCCTCAGTCAGGGCACATGCCCGGGTTGTGGGTTTGATTCCCCGGTGTGGGCCGTGCAGGAGGCAGCCAATCCGTGATTCTCTCTCATCATTGATGTCTCTATCTCTCTCTCCCTCTCCCTTCCTCTCTGAAATCAATAAAAATATATTTTAAAAAAGGAAAAGCCAGGTGCCCACCCGCAACACACAGCACCCCAACCCTGGGCCTGGGGTGGGGCAGGTGACTGGAGTTTAGCTGGTGCAGAGGTGGCTGCCATCTACTCTGCTGTGACTAAGCCAGGAAGACTTCTGAGAGGAGGAGGCCGGGAACCCTAGGGCTGCCCGCCCTGGAGGCGGCTGTCCACAGGGAGGACCTAGTCTGCACCTGGGGGCCCAACAGGGATGCCAGGAAGGGGCACAGCTGGCCCCAAGGAACGAATAAATGGAGATGGGGTGATAGGGGCTCCGGTGGCCAGGGAGGCCCCGGAACAACCCCCCCAAATCAGGCGGCACTGACCCAGAGGGCAACTCTGGCCTCGTTGAGCCTGGTGACACGGCGGCCCCAGACTCTGGAACCCGGCCGCCCCGGCTCAGTGGCTGAGCACCGACCTGTGAACCAGGAGGTTCAGTTCCTGGTCAGGGCACGTGCCCCGGTTTGCAGGCTCAATCCCCAGTGGGGGGGCCTGCAGGAGGCAGACGATCAGTGGTTCTCATTGTTGATGTTTCTCTCTCTCTGAAGTCAATAAAAAAAATATATAAAGAAGCCAGGACCCATGGGGGACGTTGAGGCCTCCCTCTTGGCAACTCGGTACTCAGCACCCAGCTGGATGCAGCCACTGGTTGAATCCTGGATGTGCCCTGACCGGGGATCGAACCCCCAACCCTGGCGTATTGGGAGGGCTTCTAACCGAGCTCCCCGACCCGGCAGCGCTGTGAGCCCGTCTTGGAGGCTCAGGCCCGTCTGTCCTCCCAGGCCTGGACCCAGCCAGGGGCGCAGGGCGGCAGCCCAGGACCGGCCCTGACACAGCTGGAGCCACTCGCCCAGCTGCAGGCGGCAGAGAAGACAAACCCCCACCTGACACCTGGCAGGTCAGCCCTGTGCGCCCAGGTGGGGCGTTTCCAGCAGATGGCATCTGCCTCCCCCCGCCCCCCGCCCCCCCCCCCCCAGCCTCCTGCTCCCCAGGGCTCTGAGGAGGGCGGGGTGCACTCCGTGGGGCCCGTGTGAGGATCAGGGTTGGGGTGCCACTGGCAGGCCCCCTGCAAGGGGCGTCCCACAGGGATACGGACCAGGTAGCCCACTTAGGGCGCCTCTCAGCAGTCTTTTATTTTAAGCTTCTCCTGAGGAGACGTTTCCATTGGTTTTTAGAGAGCAGCAGGGAGAGGGAAAGAGAGAGAAACATGGAACTGGTTGGGCCTCCTGCACACGCCCCGGGGGGCACCCCGACAGGAGCCTGCACACCAGGTGCGCGCCCTGGACCGCTGACCAGAGTCAAACGCGGGTCCCTGCAGTCCGCGCGCCCAGGCTCTGTCCACTGAGCCGAGCCGCCAGGGCCCGCTGGGTCTTTGTAAAGATGGGGTCCGGGCGCCCCCCGCTGGATGCCCGCGGGGGTCGGGGTTACTTCCTGGGGCGCTGTGTCCGGTGGCGGTGACCCCACCAGGCCTCGCTCTGGAGACATGATCCCTGCGGCGCCGGGAGGGGCGGGGGCGAGGGGCTGGCAGGGCCCCCGGGAGGACGCGAGGTGCCCGGGACAGGAGCCCGGATCTGCCGGAGGCGCGTCTACCGCGCCCCCCACACCCGCCTCCTGCCCCGAACCCAGCCGGGGCCGCCCTCGCCTTCCCACGCGCGGTCCCGCACTCCCTCCGCCTCCGCCGGGTCCTCTGGGTCCCCGGGGGGCTCCGGCGTGTCCTCCGCGGCCCCGGGCAGCGTGGCGTCCAGGTCACGGCCGGTGGGGCCCGGCGTCCAGGCGGGGGTCCAGGGCGCCCCGGGCTCGGGCCGCGCGGGGAGCCAGGAGAAGCCGGGCGCGGGGGCGAACGCCACGAACTGCGGCCGCGCGGGGGCGGCGCGCGGGATGAGGAAGAAGATGTAGACGCCGGAGACCACCAGGCCGGCGGCCACGAGCGCGGCGAGCGCCACGGCGGCGTTGAAGGCCCAGGTGGGGCTGTCCAGGGTCAGGCGGCGCGACAGCGGGCGGCCGAGGCGCAGCGGCGGCGGCGGCGGGGGCGGCGGGCGCGCGGCGCGGGTCTTGCGGGGCCCGGGCGCGGACGGCGGGCGCAGGTAGAGGAGCCCGCGGCGCCGGTCGAAGCGCACGGAGCCCTGGCGCGCGGGCGGGGCGCGGGCCTCGCTGGGCAGCAGGCCGACCTGCGTGGGCAGCGCGGGCAGCCCCCCGCGCGGGGCCAGGCGCGTGGGAGCGCGGCACACCGGGCAGGCCACCGCCTCGCCGCCGCCCGCCGTGGCCAGCGACAGGCGCGCCAGGCACTCGAGGCAGAAGACGTGGCCACAGTCCAGGCGCTTGGGCAGCTTGAAGGCGCCGTCGAAGGGCGACACGCAGATGAGGCACTCGACGGGGGACGCGGGCGGCAGGATGGGGGACGCGCCCGGGCTCGCGCCGCCATCCCCGTCCTCCTCCTCGTCCTCGGTCTCGCCCTGGTCCGGGGACCGGGGCGCGGAGAGCGCGCCCGGGGAGCTGGGGCCGGAGCCCGGCGAGACCCGCGGGCGGCGCAGCCAGGGCGGCCTGGGGCAGGGCATCCGGACCGGGCCTGCGGGGAAGGCGGCGGGAGGATGGCGGCTCTGGGTGCCGCGGGGGCCCCCCTCAGATGGGAAAATTGAGGGGTTCTGCAAAGGGTTGGGGGTGGGGGCGAACCCAGGGGTCAGGGCGGGTTATGCCCCGGGGACGGGGGCTGAGGGGCTGACAAGCGTGGGGAGGGGGGTTCCCAGAGCCGGACCCACAGGCCCCGGGCGCACAGGGACCCAGGGGGGACCCCAGGGATGACGCCCACAGCAGGGGAAGGGCCACCACCGAGACCCCGGGGCGCCGGCGGCTTCCTACCTGCGGAGCCTCCTCCCTCGGCCGGCAGGTCAGCTTTGACCCGTCCCTGGCCCAGTGGCCAAGGGACACCGAGCGCCCCGCCCCGTGGGAGGTACCCCGAGGCGGAGTCACGCCCTCGGGTTCCGGTCTGACTCGTTGGACCGCCCGTCACGCCCACCGGCCGGATGTCTGGGGGCGGCGGGCAGGTGATGGCCCAGGGCCCTCAGGTGAGCGATGCCCTCAGCACCTCCTGGCGGACTCCCCACCCGGAGGCATCGGTGCAGGGAAGCGGGAGGCAGTGCCCCCTGCAGGCCGCCGGAGGGCAGGATGGGGACCAGCCCGAGGGACTGGAGTCTGCGGGCGGGAGGCAGCCGACCCTCCGGAGACTGCACAGCCGGCAGAGGAGCAGGAAGTGGCCGCAGCCGCACCCACCAGCCCCCTCCCCCCACCAGGGGCACCTCCGTGAGGACAACCCCGCCCCCACTTCCAACGGGCGGGACACTCCCGGTGGCGGGCACCCTGGCTGCCATGGTCCTGAGTCAGTGCTTCCCTGGGGAATCCCGGCCCCAAGATGTGCCAAGAATGTGGTCAGCTCTCAGGACTTGGGGACCCCCGCTCCCGCGACCCCCAAGGACAGACAGCGCAAAGGCAGGCAGTGCTGCCCGAGGGCAGAGGGTTTATTAGAGCCGCAGCCGGGGATCAGCGGTTGGACTTGGCCACGCGCTCCAGCTCGTCCTTCTTCTTGATGGCGTAGGAGTTGGAGGAGCCCTGCGGGAGGCACGGGGTTAGCTCCGGGGGGTTAGCTCCGGGCGGGCAGGACCCCCTCCCGCCCCCCCCACACACACACACAGCGTCCTCACCCACCTTGGCCGCGTTGATGAGCTCATCTGCCAGGCACTCGGCAATGGTCTTGATGTTCCGGAAGGCAGCCTCGCGGGCGCCCGTGCACAGCAGCCAGATGGCCTGGGGAGCACAGGGGTCGGCTAAGCCCGGGGCAGAGGACACCCCACACCAGGCAGGGCCGGGCCATGGCCCCCAAGGAATGCTGGCGACCACACTGCCGCTCAGGAGGCAAGCCGCCAGGTCTGGGGTCAGACTGGGGCCACTAAAGTGCAGACACAAAGGGTCCCCGACTCCTGGAGACCTGCCATGACAGGGGTGCTCCCGGCCTGGACCCTGGGTTGAAAATGAGCAGCTAGAGCACTGGGGACGGCTGCATACACAGGACAGAGGGAGCCCAGACTGGGAGGTAGTGGGAATAGAACGTCCATGTTCTCTGAGAACGTCAACTGATCCTCCAATGGTCCAAGAAACACACACAGTGACAAAATATACACCAGACTCAGCCCAATGCCGCCCCAAAGGTCCAGAGCTGGGATCTGCCCTGCACGGCCAGGAATCCAGGAAGGCTTCCCGGAGGAAGTGACACTCCAAGCAAAGCATGCGGCTGGGCGAACCTTCCCACTGGCCGGCCCCTGCCCCGGGCAGGACTCCTCTGAGGCCGCAAGCCCAGGCCCACCTGGTTCACCCGGCGCAGGGGGGACACGTCCACAGCCTGCCGCCGCACGGTCCCAGCGCGCCCAATGCGGGTCGAGTCCTCCCGGGGGCCGCTGTTGATGATGGCGTTCACCAGGACCTGCAGGGGGTTCTGGGAGAGGGGAGCCAATGAGCCAAGGCAGGCGGGACCGTCCATGGTCACCCCAAACCCTGAAGGCCCCCCCCCCCCCCCCCCCCCCCCCCCCGCGCACTGTGGGCGGCGGCTCTGCCCGGCCCGCCTACCTCGCCCGTGAGCAGGTGGATGATCTCGAAGGCGTGCTTGACGATGCGCACGGTCATGAGCTTCTTGCCGTTGTTGCGGCCGTGCATCATCATGGAGTTGGTGAGGCGCTCCACGATGGGGCACTGCGCCTTGCGGAAGCGCTTGGCCGCGTAGCGCCCGGCGCTGTGGGGCAGGTACTTGGCGTACTTCTCCTTCACCGCGATGTAGTCCTGGGGCAGAGGCAGGGACCCGTCAGGGCAGGGGGGACCAGGGGCCCGGGCGACCACGCAGGTGGCCCCTCGCCGGCGGGTCTGGCTGTGCAGCGGGAGGGGGCAGGTGGAGGACGAGAGAGAACGCCCCACACTCCCCGCTGTTTCCAACGTGCACCTCAAACTGCACAGGGACGTTCTGAGTTGGACGCTGTGGGGCTCGGGGCTGTGCTGTGCTGAAGGAACCCTCTAACTTCTGAGACGGTGCTGGTTTTTTAAAACACGTTTTTATTAGTTTTAGTGAGAGGAAGGGGAAGGGAGACTAAGAAACATCGATGTGACCGATAGAAACACTGATGGGCTGCCCCCTCGTGCTCCCCACCCGGGACTGAGCCCCAAACTCGGGCCTGTGCCCTGACCAGGAAGCAACCTGGTGCATGGGCCACACCAGCCAAGGCTCAAAATGTGTTCTTTTTTCTTGTTTTTTAATGGATTGATTTTAGAGAGAAGGAAGGGAGAGAAACACTGATTTGTGGTTCCACTTATCTATGCATTCATCGGTTGATCCTTGTCTGAGCCCTGGCTGGGGATCAAATCCGCAACCTTGGCACAAGATGCTCTAACCAACTGAGCTACCTGGGCAGGGCCCAAACCGTGGTTTTAAGAATCACACAGGCCAAAACTGGTTTGGCTCAGTGGACAGAGCATCGGCCTGCGGACCAAAGGGTCCCAGGTTCGATTCCGGTCGAGGGCGTGTACCTTGGTTGTGGGCACATCCCCAGTGGAGGATGTGCAGGAGGCAGCTGATCGATTCTTCTCTCTCATCAATGTTTCTAACTCTCTATCTCTCTCCCTTCCTCTCTGTAAAAAAATCAATAAAATATATTAAAAAAAAAAAAAAGAGAATCACACAGAAGTCCTTCCTATACATACATTTCCCAAGAAAATGTCTAGAAAACACGAAAATGTTGGGGAGGGGTTGGGACCAGGAACTGTTGTGTCCTATGAAACACGCCCCAGGCCTCTGACTCACACATGAGGACACGGCCCAACAATGCTTTTCTAACGACACAAGCAGCGCTGGCATCTCAGCGGATGGAGTGTCAGCCCGATACCCAAGGGTGAGGGTCCGATCTCTGTTCAGGCCTCAAACAGGAACCAACCAATGAATGAACTGGAACAGCCGGCCAGCATGGCTCAGTGGCTGAGCATCAATCAATGAACCAGGAGGCATTGGATCAATGATTCTCTCTCATCATCGATGTTTCTCTCTCTCTCCCCCTTCCTCTCTAAAATCAATAAAAATATGTTTTAAAAAAATTGGCACAATTGATGTTTCTCTCTCTCAAGCCAATAAAAGTTTCAAAACATAATAAAAATACAAGCAGTAACAGGGAAAGGACAGGGGATGAGGAGGCTGGTGTCTACTGCACGAGGCAGGTGACCGGTGGGCGTGTCCATGTCTCCGCCGGGCAGGTGACCCTGCGGACACAGCCGTCCCATCGAGGGTCTGGTTCACGGGCCCCGGCCCAGGGCAGAGAGAACCCGGGGCCACGATGACACCTGCTTCCCGTGAGGGCACCAGGGAAAAGTGAAGACAGGCGTAACATTTTTCACGGGTTGTACACACACATGACAGAGACCACAGGCGACCCAGAGGCTGAAGCACTTGCTATGTTGTCCTTTGAGTTTGCAGACCTGCAACGTCGTCCATGAAGGAAAACGATCCCCAAGACATTCAGAGTGAAAAAACGGGGCCGAGTTCTCCAATAGGCAGAGGGCGCCTGGGCCCCAAATACACGCAGAGGCAACAAAAATGCTTCTTTTAAAACGAGAAGGGGAGTTCTGCCCGGCTTGGCTCAGTGGATAGGGCATCAACGGGCAAACTGAAGGGTCCCAGGTTCGATTCCAGCCAAGGGCACATGCCTGGGTTGCAGGCTTGATCCCCAGTGGGGGGGGGGGGGGGCGTGCAGGAGGCAGCCAATCAATGATTCTCTCTCATCATTGATGTTTCTATCTCTTCTCCCCTCCTCTCTGAAATCAATAAATATATTAAAAAAAAAAAATAACGAGAAGGGGACACAATAAATATAATCCCACCTGGACTTCATTCATCTCCGTACAAACGCAATCACAAAGCAGTTTTTGTTTTGTTCTGTGAAGGGCCCACAGAAGCGATGCCGAGGCCAAGCGGACAATGTATGGGGGTGAGGCCTCCCATTTCCAATCTCAAAACCCAGTGCAGCTGCAGCAAACAGACCGTCAGGCGTGAGGACAGTCAAACGGAAAGAATCAAAGGGGCGGGAATCACTCTGGCCCGTGGGCTCAGAGTCTTGGTCCGATTCCAGGTTAAAGGCACCAGGTTCCCCGGCCCCGGTTGGGGCACGTGTGGGAGGCAGCCAATCGATGTCTCTCTCACTTAGATATTTCTCTCTCTCTCTCCCTTCCGCTCTCTCTAGAAATCAACGGAGGAAATATCCTGGGTGAGGATTTTTTTAAAAAAATAAGAACAGTGCAGGAATTCAAGGGCGCCACATCCATTCAACAGGGGAAATACCCTTTAACAAACGTTGCTTGTAAACATGCGTGTAGAGCATAAAACAGGTTTAAACTACAAACAGCCTATGGCCCAAGTTTGTTAAATAAAATGGGCAGAACTGACAAATAAAATGAGGTGCTGGGACAAATGGACCTCCACATGCAAAACAATGATGTTGGACCCTTGCACTTTAAAATGGTTGCCATGGTGATGTCTGGGTTATGTGTATTTTACTAAAAAACTGCAGCGCCCTGGCCCCAGGCTCAGCCGGCTGGACTGTCCGCTGGCACCAAAAGGCTGTGGCTCAGGCCCTGGTGGCGGCATGTGCAGCAGGCGACCCGTGGGCATTCCCTTCTCCCTCCAAAATCAGTGAGCAGCCCGGCCGGGGGGCTCAATGGTTGAGCGTTGACCTATGACCCAGGAGGTCAGGGTTCCACTCCAGGTCAGGGAACAGGCCCGGGTTGCAGGCTCCATCCCCAGTGTGGGGGCGCGCAGGAGGCGGCTGATTGATGATTCTCTCTCATCATTGATGTTTCCCTCTTCCCCTCTGAAATCAATAAAAAATATATATTTTTTTTAATTTTTATTTTTAAAAATATATTTTATTGATTTTTACAGGGAAGATGGGAGAGGGATAGAGTTAGAAACATCCATGAGAGAGAAACACCGATCAGCTGCCTCCTGCACACCTCCTACTGGGGATGTGGCCGCAACCCAGGTACATGCCCTTGACCGGAATCGAACCCGGGACCCTCCAGTCCGAAGGCCAATGCTCTATCCACTGAGCCAAGCCGGTTCGGCATAAAATATATTTTTATTGATTTCAGAAAGAAAGGGAGAGAGAGAATGAAACATCAATGAGAATTATTGATCGGCTGCCTCCTGCACGCCCCCTACTGGGGACCGCGCCTGCGACCCAGGCCTGTGCCC